TGGTTGAACTGTAAAGTGCCTTGAGATGACATGTGTTCTGAATTGGCGCTATAGAAATAAACTGAATTGAATTGAATAAAAAGATAATCCCCTTTCACTATTTTGGGTTGATTTCCTAGTTTATATGTTCTGTTTTATACTAATGAAACATTTCTATTGCAATCGAAGAGATTCTGGATTCTGCTAAAGCAAAACTAAAGATTAACATCATCTGCATAAATGAAACATTAAATGGATTAAATTGGATCAACAATTGCTTTATAAAGTAAGGACATTTTAGGACATTAGTCAGATGAAAACTGGCCAAAAAACAGAAACTCAAATGGACGCCAGTTTATTAACAAATAAGGGTTATAGCAGGATCTGATTTTAAATGGGGATTAGAAAATAAGAGAGCTTTAACTGGGAAATATAAAATATTGGCCAAAAGGATCTGAGTCAAAGCCAGGAAAAGAGTTCAATAAAACCTCCAGTGTCTCCACTTTATTATTATTAGCTGTGGTTTTAGAGAGAATTTAGAGGCTGCACAGTTTGTTCAGATTCCTGCCAGTGGTAAGCGTTTTTAGTCTATTTTTGAAGGTGCTGAAGCAACCCTAATTTAAATCAAAGCACCCCTGAAATATGAGTTGTTTTGACTTATCTAGACTTCGATTTCTTCCAGTGTATAAAGTATTTGGTTATTTCACCCCCTTCAGTTATGTTCTGGTTCATCAGAAATAATATAATAAACAAACAAACAAAAAAAAACAAGTAAACAAGCCTGATGGATGGTGCCTTAAGTAAAATATCGACCAATGCTTTAAGGAAAACGCTGCATTCAGGTGTTTTCTGAAATGTTCAGTCAAATTGTATGCACTTATTGATGGTGTGTTGGTGAAATGTTCACCAGCGAGGTGCTCTAATGTATCTGAGGCTGGTTTGTTTGATTATCTTTATAACCACAACTTACAGTAGCATCGATATGTAGATTTACTGAATCATTAGTAAACCTTTATCATTTCATTCAGTTTCTGGTTATTTTAATTTATAATCCATTTTATCATTTACTACGGCTCAGATACGATGCATTAGTGAATGATGGAGTCAGTTATTTACAAAAATAATGAACAAGTTTCAAAAATATGTGTAGAAAGCAGTGAAATTAATCTTGTGTGGCCAGGCAGCTCTCTGCACTCCAAAAACTATCTAGAAATAAGTAAAACATTTTTTTAAATATTTTTACTCTTAAAATAACTTGAATAATATCCACTTGAAATAAGACAATAACATGTTTTTTTATTTTCATTTTACAATTAAATTGTTTTTTTCCATTGGCAAAGTGTCTCACTTTCCTCCTCAATCCAAGAACAAATGCATTTATTTTAAGAAAAAATGACTTATTTAGACTTTGATATTTTCCAGTGTGGGTGCTCAGCCCCCCTAAACCTCTGGTCTTAGAATCGCCCCTGCTGCCAGTTAAAGGCAGTTTGGTTTCTGGCCTGACATGAATTTATCATCAGGTTATCATCAGGTTAACTGTGAGTTTAAGGAGGTCGGAGACTTAAGAGCAAACAAAGATGAACATGATTATCAAATATAGGAGCCAGTTATCATGACGACGGTTCTAAGTTAAACTAAGGAAGGATATTTAAGCTGCAAACACTTTTAAAAACAAAGAAGAATCTGAAACCTTTTGGGACAAATCCTGTATTTTTAAACAAAACTAAAATATTTCTATTTTAGTATTGGTTTCTGCACTGCAAAAAACTTATTTTTCTTAAAATAAGTGCATTTTTTCTTAAATTGAGGAGGAAAATTAGACATTTTGCCAAAGAAATGAGACAATTTCCATTTAAAATAAGAAAAAAAACTGTGTTGTCTTATTTCAAGTGCATTTTATTTAATTATCTTATTTTAAGAGTAAAAATCCTCATTCCATTGTCAAACTATCTCATTTACCTATTCAAGTTAAGGGTAAATACACTTAATTTAAGAAATTTGTACTTGTTTCTAGATCATTTTTCCAGTGTGATGCTTCCTAACTGAAAAAATTATATCTAGATCAGTCATTTTTTCTTAAAATAAATGCATTTGTTCTTGGATTGAGGAGGTAATAGAGACATTCTGCCAATGGAACAAGACAATATACATTTAAAATAAGAAAAAAACACAATTGCATTGTCTTATTTCAAGTGCATTTTATCTAATTATCTTATTTTAAGAGTAAAAATACTCATTCCATTGGCAAACTATCTCATTTACCTATTCAAATACACTTAATTTACGACATTTTTACTTGTTTCTTGATCATTTTTCCAGTGTGATGCTTCCTAACTGAAAAAATTATATCTAGATCAGTCATTTTTTCTTAAAATAAGTGAACTTGTTCTTGGATTGAGGAGGTAATAGAGACATTCTGCCAATGGAACAAGACAATATACATTTAAAATAAGAAAAAATCTAATTATCTTATTTTTAGAACTCATTCCATAGGCAAACTATTTCACTTACCTACTCAAATGAAGGGTAAATACATTTAATTTAAGACATTTGTACTCATTTCTAGATCATTTTTCCTGTGCTGTTGGTTCTTTGCCCTCATTTTCTTCTGCAGTTTTAAAAATGAGGAAGAAGAGGGTGGGAGGAAGGTAGAAGTCACATTAGAAGAACTCTGGCGACATAATGTGAGTTTTTCTCCCCCTGCTTCTTGGAGAGGATTCTTACTTGACGTCGGTGACGCAGTGGGTCTCGTTCCACCGCACCGGATCCATGTCTCCGTGCGCAAAGGCCACCAGCCACCAGCTCATGGCGAACAGCAGCCAGCTGCTCACAAAAGTGGTGGTGAAGATGACGAGCGTGAAGCGCCATTTCAGGTCCACCAGCGTGGTGAAGACGTCCTGCAGGAAGCGGCCCTGCTCGCGGATGTTCTTGTGCGCCAGGTTGCAGGAGCCATTCTTGGCGATGAAGCGCGCCTTGTTGACGCGGTCGCGGAACACCGGCTTCCTGGGCAGCCGGGAGGCGAAACCCGGCACCCCGAACTCCTCCGGGATGATGCTCTTTCTGGGTAACATCTTCCTCCTCTTCTTCAGCAGTTGCTGCCTTCCTGAAGCCTGGTCTCAGTGCGTCTTTACGCGCGGAAACATGTTAAAAACGCGTAAAAAGTTTTAGTTCCAGACTTTATTTTGGTGTGTGATGGGAGTGAGCGCCGCGCGCCGCCTCTGCTGCTCTCCTCTGAGGGCTGGACAGTCTCCTCTGTCCTGTTTGACGTCCTCCAACTTCCAGAATCCAGTCCCGACTCGGACTGGGAGCTGCTGCTGCCTTCAAGGACTCCTCCAGCACTGTCGGAAACCAGCAAATTACACTCACACTGCCAAAATCATCTAGAAATAAGTCAACATTTCTTAAATTAAACGTATTTACCCTTAATATGACTATATAAATAAGATGATTTTCCAATGGAATATGTATTTTACTCTTAAAATAAGATAATTAGACAATATGCACATGAAATAAGACAATAAATGTTTTTTTCTTATCTTAAAAGTAAAATGTCTTGTTCCATTGGCAAAGTATCTCACTTACCCCAATCAATTCAAGAAAAAAAAAATGTACTTATTTTAAGAAAAAAAATACTAATGTAGAGTTTTATTTTTTCCAGTTCAGTCTGGAGCATCAATTATATCTACACACTGAAAAAATTATCTAGAAATAAGTAAATATTTATCAAATTAAGTTTATTTACCCTTTATTTGAATAGGCAATGAGATAGTTTGCCAATGGAATGAGTATTTTTACTCTTAAAGTAATATAATTTGATAATCTGCACTTGAAATAAGTCAATGCAATTGTTTTCTTTTTTTTTAAATGTAAATTGTCTTATTCCATTGGCAAAGGGTGTCTTTTATCTCCTCAATTTAAGAACAAATACACTTATTTTAAGAAAAAATGACTTATCTAGATTTAGATTTTTTCCAATGCAGCATAAAAACATGCATCATATTTCATTTTAAGCAGCAAATTAACCTTATTCTAAAGACGCATCACATGCTGGAAATACATTTGATGAATTAAAATGTCAAACTGAACACAAATTTACATGAGCTCCATCTTTTCAATTTGAAACAGCAGGCTGGTTGAATATTTGCCATGGATTTTGATTTATTAACCAATTTAGATTAGTTTTTACATATTTAAAAAAAAAAATAAAACAAACGATTGAGAAGCATTATTCACTCAATATCTTTTTTCATCACAAAGTTTGTTTTTCCTCTCCTTTGAAATGATGGTAGCCAGAAACACAAATGACTTTAAAATTTGTGTTAAATAAACAACTTTTCTGGGGTCAATTAAGGTTAAAAGTCATGATCAGTCCAACAGGCAGCTCAGATCTAAAAGAAAATATAAACTGGTAAAACATATTAAGAGATTTTTTGTTTTTGTTTTGTTTTCTGCTCCTGTTAAAGATTCAAAATCTGATTTTGCCTTAAATTAGTTAAGAAAATTATGCTAAACTTAAATGAGCAATTAAAAGTAAAAAGACATAATTATCTGACGACCAAAATGCGATTTGCACATACACCGCTAGAGGGAGCCATTTAGCAGTATATTCTTCCTGCTATTCCCAACTTTTCACTGTTTTCTTGGAAAAAAAAGAGACAGGCTTTATTTAAAACAAAATTTATTGTCATTTCATGTGTAGAAAAAAATATAGGCACAAATAATCAGCTGTTTTATATTCTTTAAACCATCAGATATGATAACACAGTTGGTAAAGCTCAGAATCTATAAAAATCATACAAAAGTGTCATTTAACATGAAGATGTGTGAATTCAGATGAAGTGAGACTTTCTGCATAGAGCTGCCGATGATTTAACGACGACACATTTAATTAAACCCCGTTAATCGGTTTCATCAACAGTTTCTTTCAGAGTTTGTTTTGTTAAAAGTCCAACAGAAACAGAATGCAGGAGTAAATATGACGGAGATTTAGAGAAACAAGGTGATAAACAGGAGAGGAAGAGCTGAAGGGATCAGAGATCTGAACATCGCTGCTGAGAGGAAGAAAAATAAACGTTTGGATGTTTAACTGAACAAGACAAAAAACAGAAACATCAGGGAGGAAAGTCTTTGAAATAAACACTGGTGACCCAATAAATCTGGTGTTTACTTTGTACGGTAGATAAGTCATAAAGTCCTGAACAAACTTGTTAAAATGGTTTAATCAAGAAAGCAAAGGGACGACATCACAGCTTCCAGAGAAAATAAACAAGGAATTCAGGCTGAAATTAAGGAAATATTATAGAGTTTAAAAGCTAGAATTAGGATCCAATACAAGTTCAGACATTTGGAGATTAAATATGTAGATTTCTTAATGCTCTGCAACTCGGATCTATTTATCAGAGAGCTACACTGGTGAATAATGATCAGGGAAAAATATGAATCCTTCTGCAAACTATCACTCTGCATTATTTATAGAAACTACACTACTTTAAAGACTCACAGATTTAATGTCTTCCTAATTCAGGAAGACCAGTTGGTCAAAGAGAAGAATTTATGGCAGAAATGCCTCATTTGAAGCTGAACTGAAGTGGAGAATAAAATAATTTTATTAGAAAAGGTTTTATTGATACTTTACAGAAAATCACCTCCCCGGCTACCAGCAGCTCTCCTCTGATGGTTCAGCAAAGCATGACTGCAGACAGACAGCAGGTTCAGCGGCTGCAGGCGGAGCCGCCGCACCTTACAGTGTTCGCACTAAAGTCTGCACAGAAATACAGCTGATAGAGTGGAGTGACGGCAAACGCACACCAGAAACAATCTAGATCAAACAAATATTTAGCTGTAAAAGTTTGAATATGAGAATATTAAGTCAAAGAAATGAAAAAGTATGTTTTTATTTCTTGAGATAAGATAAACTATTTGTTTCTGATCTATGTTCCCATCCATCAAGACATTTTTACAACTAGCCTTATGAGCCCGATAATTAAAAACGTCCCTAAAAGGTTCGTCATGATTGACGAAGAGTCACTAGAATCTTCCTCTTCCTGATGTGAGCGACCAGTTCAATCTGCTCTATCAGTGGTACATCTGTGGGAGAACCTTGCAATAAACCTTAAGTGTATAATACAATAAAAAGCAACTTCTTTCACAGTGAGAAAGCTGCGCGAGGCACTGAACACCTCTGGCTTCATTATTGCTTAATATCAGTGATATTATAGTATAGATAAAAGTGGTGCCATACGTAAAAGTTAAACAGCTTAAAAACTCATTGATTATAAAAGAGCCTGAAGGCTCAGCGTTTATAGAAACTCCCCAAAGGAGAAAGGGAGGTAACAAAGTTGGGGGCTTGTCCGGGATCTTTTGTTGTAACTAAGAAATCCAGCTACATTTCACTTAATGTTCACAAAAAATAGAGTTTTTAAAACCTTTAAAACCAAACATCAGAAAAAAAGCTTTATATAAAGGAAACCATGAACTTGGCTGGGACTACTTAATGCAGCGAATTGACACACACCGTCCTGAGAGTGTTTGGGTTGAAAGCTGCTCTATGTGAGCGAGGCTAACTCAACCATTGCTTGATTTCTTCGTGGAATTTATTTTGACATTGAAAGCTCTTTTCTAACCTAGAGACATTTTGATTTGTGGTAAATTTAAGAGGATGGTCATAAAAAAGGCTATTTAATCATACACCGTAACATATAAAAAATGAAAAAAAGAGTAATTTGAACAGAATAATTAGCGGAAACGCAGGTAGCTGCTAATAACTGCTAGTTGACGTTTAATTTTCTTTTAATAAAGTTTTTTTGGAATTGAATTAATGAGGAACAACCTTGTAACCTAAACGTTAGTCATAACTATTTCATTTTAAAGGCTTGATCAAGTCTTTGATCCCAAATCAGAGTTTTTTTAGTGATAACATCGAAACCAAACACTAAATAATTTACAAACATAATTGAAACTCTAAAATCACGTCTGAATATATAAATCCCCCCTCGATGATCACATGTTTAGTGCTGATGTATGAACCTAAGTGAAATGGCCTGTTGATCCAGGAGGACCTTAGCAGTACACCGCGTCCAGTCGCCTCCGCAGCTTCCTGCTGTATCCTTGGCTTAGACATGGACTTCCTGTTTGTCCTCCTTGCATATTAAAGTTTAAAGTAAAGATGTTTAGGAGTGAGACGGATGAGTCTGCCGGCCGTCGTCCGATCAGGGGACTACATGTCGGCTCTGACGAAGGAGGCGAACATCCCGTCCTCCTGCTCCAGCAGAGTTTCCGGTTTGTCGTACTCCAGGATGTTTCCTCTCTTCATCACGATGACCAGATCGGCCGTCAGGATGGTGTGGACCCGGTGCTGCACAAACACAAAAACTAGTTAGGTTATCTGTTTCAAAAGCCCTTTCTGACACGGTCAGAGCCAGGGCATGCTGAGTCACCAGTTGCTATGGTGATTCCCGCCTTTTCTATGAAGATTTACAGGAAACAGAAACAGTTGTGTTAAAAGTGAGAGAACAGGACCTTCTAGAAGCCAGGTCTGGAAACTTTATACATCTAACAGCGTTAGGGTTGCCAACTCCCTGAAAAAAAAGGACACTTCATGTGCATGCCAGCTGACCCGATTGCCTTTACCCCTCCTGGCGTGGGGATTTTGTGTGTGAAATTATTTTTTTAACTATTTGACTCAAATCAGCATTGAATTAGCTGCATATTTGCAGTGTGCTTTATATTCATTATCGCTGACTTTATTCACCCAGGTAGTTGTTTTTCCCTTTCCTCCCAATGTTTCTGCATCCTTTTTTTTTTTTTGGAGGAGGAGCATCGAAGGTGCTCCGCCCCCAAAAGTAGTGTCAGCATTTAAATTACTCCGTTCGTTCCCCATACTGCTCCGTTGTCTCCTGCTATCTTCTCTGTGAGCAACACTTGGTTCGACCAATGGGATGAGGGGATTCTGGATCGTCACATGTATGTTGTCAGCTCATTGGTCACAACGCAGGACAGGACCCGGGAACAAGTTTACCGTAAGTTTTGTATCTAATGTGCCCGCTTTTTATTGAATATTTTTTACTCTCACAATAATACGGGAGAAAGTGCGATCCTTTTTCCACTTATTATGAGACAGGTACTTTTATTTTCTAAATGAAGAACGATTCCGTTTTTCAAGGGATGGTTGGTAACCCTGAACAGCCTAAAGACAGGAGATTCGCAAATTCCCCAGAACCACCAGGAGGGGAATCCAGGGGGCGGTGAGAGTGAGTGGGCGTGTCTCTCTGCCCTCTGGGCTCGGACTGGTCAGAAACCTGAAATTCCTCCATTAGAGGGAGACATCGGACAGGTCCCAGCTCAGGGGCCGATGACATCACAGCGCTGCGTGATGGCTGTCCAAACCCAGAAACTCACCTAATGCTCCTTCACAGCACCATATTTCCCATAATTCAGAGCAGACGGGCTGAGCTCGGGTAGTGATGGCGGACGCCAGTGGGAAAAAAAAAATTCGTAAAAATTTCTGGGACCCAAAGTAACCTTCAGGATGTTTTGAGGTGATACTGGGATTTTTTTTCTTGAACTCAAATATCTACTAATTTTATTTAGATCCCAGTTAATTTAGCAGAGGTTCAGTGTCTTTGGGCTCCGGTTCTCTTCGCCAGCCGTCAGCGCTCCCCTCCCTCTGATTAGCAACTGATCGCCTTGAAGCTACCGCTAGGTAAAACCACCGGCAGGAAGATAAACACATTTAGCTAATACTGAAACTGTCATGTTTGGCTTATTTAAGACTTTTATTGCTTATTCAGCAAATCTGGGCAAAAGTTACAGGTCAGTTTCAAAGATGATTATAGCCCCATTTACACTACTCTTTTGAAACCATGCTGAGATCAGTCTGGGCTAGGCTTGCCACCTTTCAGAAATGGAAATAAGGGATGCGGGGGTCCTAAATAAACTTCATTGTCGTGGGGGGTCTGGGTGTCTTCCCCCAGAAAATGTTGTATTTCTTAGATGCAATTTTCTGCATTTTAACCAAACATTGTCCCATTTCAGCTCAACACAGAACCGTACTTTTATTTTATTCTTTGAGCGAGGCATGTATTTCTCGCAATAAGCTACAGCTAATTACAATAATCAATAAATGGAAACGTTAAGTTTGTACAGTCGGCCACAGAAATACTCTCACAAAACCAATGGCGTGCTTGACCTGGTAGAATTGTTTTTGGTTTATTTTGGTTGTTAGTTACCCAGTTTATTAAATGACTCACTTTTGTTACCATGGCGGCGCTCCAAGGCAGCAGCCAAAAGCAGCTCCTCTTGACAATTTTCAGATAATATGCAGCTTAAAATGATATAAACTGGACATCGGGCCTGCATCTATGGTCGCTGGCGCATGCTGGACCTACGGTTACGAGGTGTTTTGAATTCTGATGTTTTTGACCGTTTTGGGGAGCTGCGTAGTGCTGCGGACTGATGTCAACAAGACAACAGTGGAAAATAATGGATGGAGGAGGAGATGCACAAGATGGAGAAAGCGGGGCTGCAGAGGGGGGCTAACTGGGAAGCTTAAGAGAAATCCCCACAGACCACTGCTTCCATTAATCCAGCTCTCTGCTGGTTGGAAAACAAAATGGATCATTTCCGACTGGAACTCTCTTCAAAAAGGAGATATGTAACTGCTGCGCCATCATTCTGACGGGGCCTTGGCTGCATCCAGCAGGGTGCTGTTGGCCTGGGGGGGCTGATGCTGTACCGCGCCGATGTAGGCGGAGACCTGTGTCAATGAGGGCTCCTCATCAACCCAGAGGGCTACCACCCTCACATCATCGTCCTCTTCCTCCGCTGAGCCAGGAGAAGCTAGTGCTTCAGGATCTGGAGGCAGTAGTAGCAGCTCAACAACAACTGCTGCTTACCTTATCAAGGCTGCACTTTAGAAAATGAAATTGACTAGAGAGCTGTTCTAAATGAAGGCAGATTTAAATAAAAATATCATAGAATCACCACACAGCAAACACATCTCCATCAAAGAGCATGCAGGAAGGGATTCGATACCAACCAGGCAGTCATTGGCGGTCAGGCTTTAGCAGACCCAGACTCTGATTCAGCCGGAAAGCAGGAAAACAAGTAGAAACCGGAGGAGAGAGGGAGAGCTGGGTCTGAGCTGATCCGGGTCTACTTGTGGGTCCTCACTAGCACACTGAAGAGGCTCTCCTCCTGTGCTAGAAGGTTGGGACCAGAGTCACTTTCCACCAAGATCCCAGAGGAGAAGACCAGCACCTGCTCCGAGTCCAAGATGGAGGAGACGCGGTGCTGGTGGACAGGATGAGGAGGACGAAGGGGTTGGTAGGAAACAGGAAGAGAGGAAGATAAGAGAGAAAAAATGAGAGCAGGAGAGAGGAAACAGGTGGAGGAAGAAAATCAGCTCAGTTCATTCAGCTCAGTTTGAAGAAAGAAGGAAATAAGGGAAAGGAATCAGAAACTTTAAAGAGCAGAGCTGCAGATCCCAGAACTTACTGCGATGGTGACCACGGTTCTGTCTGCGAACGCCGTCATCACCACCTTCTGCAAGATGTTCTCCTGCACAGAACAACTCAGAACATGAGCGCTCCAAACAACAACGGCTGCAGAAAGCAGAGCAGCAGCAGGAGGAGGACGGAGAACCTAGACCTTTATGCTTAGAGCAGAAAACAGATCCAGATCCAAACCATCAGGAATCCACAGCTTAGAAAATAATTAAGTTTAATTCACTGGTTTAACTATTTCCACAAGATAAAAATATTTCTCCACTTCATAAAACATAAAACTACATTTTAGACTAAGAATAAAAGTCAAGCGGTCTGATCTAATATTCTATCTCTGGAGCAAAAAGCCAGGATTCTCTAATGGAGACGCTGTGGACTGATGTTCGGTTCTGCTTCATTGTTCTCAACAGATTTCCTCCTGCTTCTGCTAAGCAGTCAGGTTGAGCGACCATGACACCTCCACCTCCGTGCCTAAAGATGTCCTGCTGTCCAAACCCACCGTGGCCATGTCTATGGACGCCGTGGCTTCATCCATGATGAGGATGCTGCTCTTTCTGACGAAGGCTCTGGCGAGGCAGAAGAGCTGCCGCTGACCGACGCTGAAGTTCTCCCCTCCTTCTGTCACCATGGCGTCTGAGGAAGGACAGACAGCTCCGTCATGTCTAGAACCTCGTAGCTTAGATCAACTAATTCTGGTTACCGTACCCAGTCCTCCAGGCAGAGCTTTGACCATGTTCTTCAGCTGGGCGATCTCTAGCGCCTCCCACAGGCGGTCGTCGGTGCACTTCCTCTCTGGATCCAGATTGAACCTGAAGCAGGATGAGCTCACTGTGAGTTTTGCTTTATCA